ATGTGCTACAAAATACAACTAAAGTAAGATGATCTCCCGGTTGATCGCTGAGTAAGCTTCACACCGCCTTCCTAAATGTATCGCTGCAATGGTGGGATTGCCGAGTAAGAGGGTGTACTGGCCTCACCACCTTCCTAAATGCATCGCTGCAATGGCAAGCAAAGAGGCTGAGAAGCACTCTCAACAGGCAAGCTGAGAAGCACTCTCAGCAAGCAAAGTGGCCCACAAGCAGCCCAAAAATTGCCTTCCATCATTGACTCCTTGTGAAGAACAAAGAGACGATGGGCTGAATTTTGCAGGAAAGAACTTCGCTGCTGGCCAGAAAATATTTCCTATACCTCCCATACCAAAGGTGACATCAAGGTAAATAGTAAAGCGGGCGGACTAAACAGTCCATTTTTTAGATCAGGTTGATCGTCAGAATGCCAAGAAATGGCAGCAACTTGGTTTCGAAGAAGAAAATGAAGAGATGAAGATAGAAGATGAAAAATGCGAAACATTTATAGGGGGTGAAGATGAAGAAACAGAATATGAACAGCCACATTTCTGTCTAATAAACGGAATTAAATAGCCCAAACTTTTGGGAAAAGTGGTGAAAATATCAAAAGGAAATGGACAAGATTCTTAATGCAAAGCAGTTAAGTGCTTAAAGAATTGATGACTAAAAAATAAACGTCAAATAAATGCGCAAGAAGTTAATGTTCATTAAGGATGAACAAAGTTACAAAGGGAAAAATCGAATTACAAAAGAAAAAAGACATCGCATGTCTTAACTACAGTCTACCCCATATGGAACGAATTCGTTCCCTAAGTTTTTCCCAATCCTCGTTCTGTCGAGAGGAAGTGATGTTCAACTCAGCCGCGACATCATCATCATCAACTTCCAACTTCTTGTACTGCTCGACCAAGGACTTAGTTCGCTCAATTCCCTGGGAAGCGTTGCGCTTTTTAGCAGCCATCCTCGCCCTGCAGTCATCCATTTTAGCTTGAAGTTCCCTCATCTGAGCAGCCAAGTTAACCATCAAAGAGTCTTCAATCATGACTTCGGAAGAGATTTCTTTCAACTCGTCCTCAGCCTTGTTAATCTCCATACGCAAAGACTCTTTCTCAGCTATGGCTCGAAGATATTGAGTGTGCTTGGCCTTTAGTTCAGCATTCTTGGCCAGCATAGAAAGGACCTCGGAGTGGATAACCTTCAAAGTCGCTTTAAAATCGGCAGAAAAATTGAGCGACGGAAGAGTCAGTGCTTGCTCCAACTTCGCACTCAAGTGCTCAAGTTCATCCTTGTGCCTGGCAGCACTAGCCCTTCCAATATCCATATCCATGAAGGATACGTACTCAAATATCGATTCCTTCAGGAACTTCAAGTCTTCCTCTGAAAAAGCAGCAGGACGATCAGATGGAGCAGGGCGAGACGTCTGGACTTGCCCCCAGGAAGCGAACAAGTCTTGGATAGAACGTACAATCCTGTCAGCATCCTGTAAAGAAGATTGCTAATATTAAAAATCCTCACTACAACGAACAAGGTGGAAATAGAAGTGAAGCAAAGACTACCTCGTCGACAATCGTAGAAGATGGCGTGCCCTCCGCCAAGCTTGCCACCAATGACTCATCCATTCGTGAGGACTTCCCCTTGTCCGAGCGAGAAGATGTTGCCACAACGGGCGGACTCATAGGAGTATCTGCAAAGCTCAAGAGCAATAAATCAGAAATCAACAGCACGAGCAAAGGTAAGACATCAAAAGACTGAATTACCTTCTGCTTCGATGATTAGGGGTTTGACGTCCTGGCAAGAAGGTGGCTCATCCATGGGTTGTGATGAGGATCCCCGGACTGAAGATGTCTCTTTAAGCGCAGCCCCCTCATCAACTGGTTTGGATGAAGTGGCCTCAGCAGAGGATGATGGAACAGGAGCTGTCGATGTCAAAGCCTTTGAAGGAGAGGCTGAACTTTTCTGAGAAATCCAAAAGATCATCAATACACAGAAAAGTTTCAAGTGTGAAAAAGTATACTTGTAAGTAAACCAATTTGATTACCTTCCTCCTGACAATAAGAGGGGCATCATCATCATCATCGACATCATCCTCCAAAATAGGAGATGCTGAGGCTGGCCGTTTGCGGCTTGGAGCACTCTTGGCCGTAGTAGGCTTGGCAGGGAGGGAAGAAGATGGACGAGCGGATTGTTTAGTGCGACGAGAAGGAGAGGGGCTCCGAATAGACAAAGGAGTGACCAAAACAGGAGGAGGAGAAGAAATACTCGATTGGTCTAATGAATAAAAAGCACGATTGGCATCAGTCGCAAATAATCTGCGCTTCACCGATGGTCAGAGTTGTTCAAAAAGAGGGTGAACGGCGTGGCTAGAATTGAAGGGGGCCAATGAAAAATGACTGGTCAAAAGAAGATTACGAGCATCTATGGCCTCTGCCTCCGCCTTAGTAATGGTATGAAAACGGTCAACTAAATTCCTTGAATAGCAAAGAGGAACAGGCCAAGTTTGGCCAAAACCAAGCTGACGAGCAAAAAATTGGGGAGCATAAATCTCTACCCCCGCTTTGGCATTGGTCCCAGTTAGAATATCATGAAATAGCTCCCTCCCGGTTAAAAACTGGATCCAAATGAGCAGGGAGGTGCTCGCGTTATCTATAGTGGAAGGGGGATGTACATAGTTTGGAGTCAAAAAAGGAGGAAAAGGAAAAAAGGAAGGGATTGAATCCAAAGAATAAAAGAATGAAAAAATGTCCCTTCTGGACATATTTACAGGAGTTAAGGGCTCCATGGCTAGTCTATAACAACTAGCAGAAGGGCGAGAAATGGATGGAGCACCAAACAATGGAAAATAGGATCTCAACCACAGTTGAGTAAACCAAAGAGGTCCACTGCCAGTGGGAGATGTATCATTCTTCAATTGAGCTTGAAGAGAGGCCATGCCTCTATAAAGGGCAGCCAAAAACAAAGAACATAAATTCAAAGGCCTGTCACGCGCCAATTCGTACGCTATGGGTAAATAACTCAGAGAGGGCTTTATACTTGGCACGCACAAAACATATTTACAAAGCCAAACTAAAAGGAAGGCCACTCGTTCAGTATGGATAGGCTCAGCGCTCGAATGATTGTGGAGGGTCTGCAGGCTTGAATAAGAATCGGTGTAGTTTAACTTTGGGGCGCCACCAGAGACTAAGATACCAGGAAAAATGGTATCGCCCAAAGGTGGCAGATTCACCAGGGCCCCAACATCCCTTAAGGTAATAGACATGGGGCCAAGAGGGAAAATAAAGGTGTTATACTCAGAAGACCAAAAACTCAAGGCGTTTGAAAAGAGTGCTGAATCAAAAGTAGGGGGGCGGATCGAGATTTCCAACAAATCAGAAATCCTAGCGCTATCAAAAAGTGCCTTAATAGGGCCATTACCCACAAGGCGAGCATGTCACCTACGAAAAGCTACGTCAGATTTAGGCCAAGTGCGAATACCTCTTTCGCGAAGTGGCACTAGCGGTAGAGAATTTAAAAAAGGAGGGCCATGAGTGCAAGGAAACAGTTGACCCACCGCCGCCTGTTCAACTGCCTCCGCATTGTTGAAGAAAGGACCTAAGTAAAACTCATTACGTCCAACGTCGGCGGGCGCGAGAAAACTTAGGGTTATGTATGGACGACTCAGAAGTCTCTGAAAGTCATCAAAACTAAAGGAATCGCTAGTTTGAGATTGTGAAGCAGCCATTTGAGAAGGAACGAAGCTTTTCAGGGTTACGTAGCAGGGAAGCAAAAGATGAATAGTGAATCGTGAAAGAGACGCAAAAAATATGAGGCGTGGTTTGGTAGCAGTGAAATGCTGTGTTTGGGATTTATAAGGGTTTGCAAAACGACGCACCTTTTCAAGTTATAGAAGGAAACGATGATTGAAATTCTTGAGAATTTCGAATGTTGCTGGAAACACAAAGTGAATATGGCAAAATTTAATAATTATTATTAATTCTGCTATATTGGGGAGTAATTGTTGACACATAAAAATTCAGCCCAAATCGAACAGCCCAATTGGAGGATCCCCAAGTCAGATAGCTCAAAGAACGAAGCCCAATCTAACAAATCAAGATGAAGGCCCAAATAAGGAGGTCCAAGAACGCGGTGACGCCATCGCCCAAGTTTGCAAGTCGTCCAGAATCTGAGCGAATGGAGTGTCATACAGTCGCCCAGAGCTGTTACTCTATTCTCACCCAAACCTTCAAGTCGCCCAAGGTATCAACAAACATAACGCGTCGTGGTTATCAAGAGGTGCAGTTATCAAGGCAGTTATTAAAGCATCCCTATCACGTTCCACGATTAAAGGAATTCAATCGAAAGCGGTTGAACGATGAAAGGTAATGGCAGCAGTTAAAATGCAGTTTTCATGACAAAATGGCCATTACGAAGAAAGTGGGTAATTATAGGACGATCAAGCAGTTTTTAGAGTAGTTGATCCCAAAGAGATCGCCTATGAAGTATAAAAGGAAGAAAGGACATAGAAGCAATGGACCGAATCAGAAACTCTCGAACAGAGAATATGTAATTTTCATTTCCTTAATTTTTAGATTTAAACACTTTTCTTTCAGTAACTCGTGTGCTTGCGCCCTTTGAAGGCAAGTTGTTTTTCATTTCCAATTGTAAAGTCATCGCCAATAAAAGAACACTCATTTTTGGAACTTTATCTCAAGAGGTTTGTCCCTTACACAATCGTCTGATCCTTTTTAATTGTTAGCGACTAACCCGCGCGAAACAGAAATATTATATTAAGGTGATAATATTTTATTTTTACATTTTATAAATATGTTTAGAATTTTAAGGTTTATAAAATCCATTTTCCAATCATTGCATTACATAATTAACATTCAAAAGTTTTTACAGGATTGTTCGAACAAATTCAGTAATACACGCAAGATGGCGTTCCTTCTATTTTACAGAGGATTAGATACTTCTAAGTTCTAAATCGTGAATATTTTAACCGTTCGTTTGCTTGTCTGTACAATAATGATGAAATACTGTAAAACCTAATATAACCAAACGCATTACAAGTATATATAAATAAAATGTGCGGGTTGCACGTATATTGGTTTAGTCCTAAAATGGTTATTGGATTGAACTGATCTGAAGTATACATTAACAGGTTTTATATTAATTTACACGGTGGTTCAACAGCATATCTGTTAAGACACGGCCACTCCGAGCGACGGCGGCGGCTTCTGTGCTTCAACAAAGATTCTTCCCGGCGGCGGAGGCTGGCATGAACGTGGCAATGCTATGAACTTGGGAACATGATCCCCCGGCATCAAAACTGGCAAGCTTTGGTCCTGCTTTGAAAAATAGAAAATACATACGTGTTTTATAATTTGAACTCATTGTGTATGAAAGTTGAAACATAAAATTAAATATACACATGTTGTCACCTGTTAAACGGTTTTAGCTCTTAGACGAGGCTTTTCAACAAGAACCATTATCTCAAAATATATGAAATGTTATACATAATGAAGAAATTCTTTACAAACCAATTATTCACTGAGTACCCAATTCTATTAATAATTTTTAGTCATCAAAATTGAAGTATATTTTTGAAAAATAATTTGGATGATCATTTCATGTAAGAAGTTGAAAGAAGGAACACATAGCATCTACATTTCAGACTAGATTTATTTTTTCATCAAAACCTTACACGTACAAAAATTTTATGAATAAGTGACAGGAAGATTTGATTTTAAGAACTTTACAATCTCTATCATGTTAAGCTGTTTCGTCTAAAATAAGTTCTTAAAGAAAAAAATATGCTTATTTACCATGTTTGTAGGTTTAGATGTGGAGGGGGCAAGAGTGTTGCCTCCGTCAAGATCCATGCCGGCAGCCGCTGCTGCTGGGCGGAGAGAGCGGATTTTCTCCCAGTGGCATACGCAAGAAAATATGCCACTCAGGATGAAGATAAGAAGCAGGAGGAGGGCGGTTCCAAGAGGGAACCCTAACGATAGCCGGGATCCGTCATCGCCATGCGCAGTTGGTGCATGATATGGATTCTCCATTACTAATGCTAACATGCACTGTATCTTCTTCCTTCATCAGTTTCAGAGATGAAAGAAGAAGAGGATTGGAGTGGAAGGAGAAATATTTATGGTGGTATGAGATAGAGAAAACGCCATGGGATGATGCAATGTGAGGTGGGATGGGGAGGGGACTATTTTTAGAAGTGTCGAAGACATTTAAATATAGTTAAATTTTGATTATATAAGATAGTAGATAATAGAAGTATTAGTCCATTTCATGGTTCGACTTGTCTCTAGAATAGAATCGATTTTATCGGTTCGATATGAACGAACTTGTATATAAAAAGAAAGAGAATAATAGACTTTCATACTTGATAACTTGTCTAACAAAATTAAAACAAGAATCGTGCTACGGGAACATTTTAACATAATATTAAAATAGATAAAAATTCGAAGTTCAATCTACTGAGTATCAAAATTATGTCATGTGAGGCTTTCGACTTAAAAATAAATATCTTGTGTACGTGAAAAATAAATAACCTACTTTTTTAACAAATTAAGATTTTAGACAAAATAATTAGATTACACTTATTTCCGGGGCATGGTACGGACGTGGTACTGTTAAGTTTAGCTACCCCCACTTGGTTGGGTGCTGTTAAGCATTGTGGCTTTCTGCTGGCCCATGCATGTATTATATTGTTTTGTTGTGGGAGTGAAGGCTCTGTTTCATTGGCTTATTCTGTGAGAAATTAGAAAGAGACAAAATATGAATATTGAAAATATAGAAACATCAACATTAACTGTTGGTTGCTATCCTATCCTTTTCGATTGTTTATACGAAATTAAAAGTAGTATTCCAAACTGGTTTCCTAGGTAGATAAAAACTGAATTTAAAATGTCGTATAAATACAAATCTTTGAGTAAAGATGAGGATATGCTTTAAATTTTTTTGACCCTTGGGATTCTTAAGGGGCACAACTAGAGTGTGAGAGAGTTCTATAATATTTATTTTTGAATAATGCTAATGCTATCTAGTAGCACTAGTGCTACAACTCAGTTTAAATCTCAATGAATTATAGAATTAAGTTATTTATTTAATTATACATCTCATTTAATTTATATTAGTACCACCTAAACCAATATTTTAACACTAATTGTGAATAACATAACCATATATTTTTACAATAAATTATCATAAAGGCGTTGCATTAATGACAAAATGATAAATCTCTCTTCTTGAATATTTGATGGCCCTTGGGATTCTTAAAGGACACTAGTGTATGTGATTGAGTTCTAAACTATTTATTTTTAGAATAAATTATGGGAAAGACGATGTCAAGAATGAGAAAATGATGGCAATAATGTCGTTTTTGTTGACAGATAAGTTGACATAATACCACATGACAATATATCATTTGATTGTTTTAAACACCGTTATTATTTCCATCCAATCATTTTCATCCACCTATACATCTGTCAAAGAAAATGTTAAAATTCATCCAGTAAAGTAACATAATTCAAATGATAACAATCATGCTACAATGTTATCTTTGATGACAGATAGATTGATATAATGCTACATGACAGTTTATCATTGAACTGTGTTAAACACTATCATCATTTTCATCCAATTATTTTCATCCATCGATACATATGTCAAAGAAAATGTTAAATTTCATCTAATAAAGTAGGAAAAAAGCTGTTTGGAGCGCCAATTTAGCCCCATGGACGGACAGGGCCAGCACGGTTCAATAAAGTAACATATCTCATCTTCTTAAATAGAGAATGTTGATTTTGACTAATTTAGCTGAGAGAATTAAAAAAAAAAAAATGGAAAAAAAGAAAGAAAGAAAAGAAAAGAAAGAGAATCATTTAAGACATTTTAATTATAAAATAGTCTTTTTAAGTTGTGAACTAACTTATTCATTTTCAATATGAAATCATCCATCCAATAAAGACATGTTTGCTTTCTTTTTTCATCTGTTTCGAATTATATGTCACTTTCCTTGTTGAAAGTATAATTTATTTATTTTTCTTTTTTAATATGTCTATATTCAATGTGCCTTATTATCAAAAAATATGAATTACATATTTAAACAATTATTTTGTCTAGGGGTATATTAGAAAAAATTTATGAAAAAATTTATATTTTCAATTATATTAATTATATATTTTTTAATATGTGTAAAAATTGAAACAAATCTATCTTAATGAACAACATCAGCCAATTATATTTTAGCCCTATACTACCCTGAACTAACTTTCCGCCGTAATGCATTGTAAACTACTCTTTTATTACTAGTCTACAGAAGTTGTTTATATTCCTTGGCGTTTGGTCATTGTATGCGTCTTTGTTTGTATGAGGCCAATCATACTGCTCATTGCTCCATATCTTATTTCAGGTTGGTAAAACAATAAAATTGGTTATATTTTTGCAATTAAAATTGTTGTTGTACTTCTATTTTATTGGGCTTATCGTGCACATGGTGTACCAGTTCAGTGAGTACACAAAATTAGACAAATTCTTTTACTAATAAGGATAAAAGTATTCACATTTAAGCAATGAAATAATGGTGATCAAACACAAATGATAACGACGAAATGTATCCAAAGATCTCCGGAAGGCCTCGAAAATCGAAGTAGCATCCGAAGCACCAGACTGTCGAAGTGTGACTTTTGATAACATCCCATTTACCAAAAGGGTGTTTGACATCCAGTTTTATGGAAAAATAAATTTTAAAATAATAGATTGATATAGAATGTATGGATAAAAAATAAAGAAATTTTTTTTATTTACATGTAATAATATTTTAATAAAAAATGCGTAGTTAAAAAGAAAAGGGAAAAAAATATATTTTAATAAAAATGATAATCAAACGGCGCCTGAAAATATGTAGATACCTCGAGGTCTTTCTAGGGATAGCCTCATAATCTGAGTGGAAAAATCCCTAGGCAAACAAAGAATTGTATATATAGGGAAATCCTATTTTGACATTCATTTTGAACAACTGGATTCACATTCCATGATGTGTAAAAAAATCTGACCATTGATTTGAGTAAGTGCTATTCAAATAAGTTGTAGATTGCCTGCCACAATCATAAATTGTCAACAAAACTGTTAGTGTAGCAAAACTCTAATATATATTCGTTACAAACCACCAGCCATGAGTTAACTATGCAGGAATTGATAAATAAAATAAATGTTTAAAGGGTGAATCATGCAAATTTACAATACTAGTAAGGATATTAATTCATGAATTTATGTTATGAATGCAAAGTTTCTATATACTTGTTTCAAAAAAACATTGGCGTGCTAGGCTTGTGCACAGATTGTGGAACCAGTTCTAAGGTGTACAAGTACTTGAGTTGGATGAACCAAAGCCACAGGTTTGCATCTATCGAAGATGATGTCTAGATGGTAACCCTCGCCCTCTACATCATGGCATACGTCACACTTTGAATTGACTAGAGTTGTTACCATCAATCCTACCTAATTTTCTGTAATTATTGAGAAAAAAAGTTTAGTGCATCAACTATTCCATCCTTTAATAATTTAAAATGTAAACGATTTAGTTTGACAAGACATTAGCTGATAAAGGTTTTGAAATGAGAAATAAGCCTAGTGTTATTTATGAAAATTCTTTGGTAGAAAATTAAATTTGTTGTATACATTAGGTTGAATGTCGAAACTAAATTAAATCAATAAATTTACGCTTCTCAAACTTTTTATCTATTTAAGTGATTGATGTGAAGTTTACACACTTCAAAATTATTTTTAGATGCATTACTTGTGACTTCTATCAAAATAAATATTTTCTTCTTTTATGTCATTGATTCCAAAAATCCACGAGATCAGAATGAGATCAAGCATTTCACGTGTTGTTTTAGTGTTCGATTTGTCTTGATTTTCAATTACTTAACAATAATGAAAATTTAACTCTTTCTTTTTTCCTTTTTTTTTTCTTTTTTTACTCATCCTGAGCAACATGAGAACTCATAAAGAAAGAAGCACATCACAATTATTTGGAATATTTTACGCAAATGCCTTAAAATATGGCAAAAAATGTGTGAAAATGTCAATTGTAATGGACTTGCTATTATCAAACCCAACCCGGCCGGTCTGTCCTTTGAATCGTCGATTCAAACTCTTAACCTAATCGGGTAGGATTATATTAGAGGAATGCAAATTATATAATCAAAAACCTCGTCTCGTCAACCTACCTGGTTGATCAGAAAAAATTTAGCCCCCATTTATCATCCTTTAACAAATTAAATTGTTTACCACACTAACATTCTCCACCACGCATTCACACAATAAAATATTATACACAAAAATCAATAAAGTTTCTTTAAATTTTAACAACACATTCTCCAAAAAATATTATTCAAAGCTCTATAATTCTTCCTATAATGGCAGACAAATAGGCTCTTAGAACATCTTCAATAGACTCTTTAAATATAAAATACTCTATATTTTAGAGAGTCAATGCTGAAAAATGAGTTCCAAAATACTCTCTAATTTAACTTTTTAAAGTAGAGAGTGTGTTTGACCTTTCAAATTTAGAGAGCCAAACTCACTCTCTATTCTTAATGTACAATAATTGCATTTAATACATTATAAATTTCAATACTCGACAATTTAAATTTTTTTCAAATTACATTTGAATGATTGGTTACTAATATATAAAAAATTTATTTTTAAATAAATATGTGGAGAAATTATTAAATATTCACTGAAAAACAAAATCAAACTAGAGAGTTTATTGGAGTGTATCAAAAAAATTACTTTCTAAATTCAATATACTCTTCATAAATAGAGAGTTTTTTTTTTTAATTTGAAAATTTAAAGTCTATGAAATTGACCTCTAGATAATAGGAATGAAACCTCACCCTTGGAACAAGCAATAGTTTGTAGTCATATTTGTGTAACTAGCTATATGTAATTCATAAATTATTTACTATTTTCTAGAAATATTTTGCAATTAATTAGTCCAGTATTTTACATCATTTTTGTAATATCAAATAATCATTATATAGAATTATTATCTATTAAAAATTAATTTTAATTGGGATGAATTGAATATATAATAACACAATTTTTGGTCTATAACTAACAAATGATTTGCAAATAACAAAAATGGGAATATCATGAATTTCTTAATATAATATTGAAAATTAAAAAATTAAAAAAT